TGTCCGCCCCGAAGATTCTGGAGACATGCTGGCGCAGATTCCCAAGATAGTAGAACAGCTTCCTGGACGAGGGGGGAGATCACGTCGAACCCGCAGCTGCAAGTCAGGACCACCCTCGGGGCTCGGGAAGGGGAACGTGCCCACGGACGAGGCCATCCCGTGGAAAGTGGAGGCCTCTGGGTCGGAATCAAAGTCCAGGAACGCCTTCTTGCTGCAATCGTAGGCCTTGACCTGAATCGAACCCTCAGTCGAAGACGGAGCACAGCGGGTGAGGATGCTCTGGACTGCCTCGCGGAGCGTTTTCTCCAGCAACGGCCGAGGGAACCCAAGTGCCACAAGACGCGAGGGGTTGCCCACGAGACCAGAGCCGATCTTCCGACGAACTTGCCTGTCATCATCCCCACGAGGAGTCGGGGTCCCCTGATCGGCATTCCGAAGGTCCTGGATCTCATCGCGCATCGTCTGGATCATTCCCTTGAGCTCATCACGAAGGGCGGATTCCGCGGTCTCTCGGTCCTGAATGCACTGAAGAAGAGCCTGCTCATGGATCGCTCGCATCTGCTCGAATTTGCAGCCGTCTGTTTGGCCAATTCAGTGTGCGCCTGCTGTAATGTCTGGAAATTCTTCTCAGCGGCAATCATCTGACCCTGGATTCCCGAAATCTGCTGGTTGATCTCCTGAAATCCGAGATTCAACTGACTGGACAGGCTTGCGACTGACGACGACAGAGGGGCAATCATGTCACGAATGGCGGCAAGGATCTGCTCGGTGTCCCGCTTGGTCTCCAAGCAAGTACCTCCAGGCACAGGCGCGGGCGTACTCATCCCCCCTGGGGAGGCAGGGGGATTAGACGAGAGAGACACAGGCCACGAGTCGCCGCCCTCGGACGGCATCGCGGGAGGAGAACCGCGAGCACGAGGGAGCGCGGCCGCGGCGGGCAAGGGGAGCGCGTCCGCTCCCGGCCTTGGTGCCTGGCCACCAGGCGCCTCGAGAGAGGTTGGAAGTTAAGGAGCAGGCCCCTTGAGCCAAAATTGCTATGGATGCTGATGCTGATGATGATAATGATGATGATGATGATGACGATGATGATGATGCTGAGGATGATGATGATGATGATGATGCTGGTGATGATGATGATGCTGATGACATTGATGATGATGATGATGATGCTGATGATGATGATGATGATGATGATGATGATGATGATGATGATAATGATGACGGTGCGCAGACTGCACCTCGAATTACCCAGAGGCGCCACCAAAACTGGCAGACACGGCCCTCCTGGGCTCCGATGGCTGGGAGACCGGGGGCCAAATGATGACGGCCCTGGATCGAGGCCCTGGGCATCGAGGCATCGGCATGCTGTGCAAGAGCCCACTGCGGAAATGAGGACGAATCTCGTGTTCTGGTCCCGTCCTTCTCGGCCTCCTCCCCTTCCTCCTCCTCCTCCTCCTCCTCCTCCTCGTCCTCCTCCTCCTCCTCCTCCTCATCCTTCTCTACCTCCTCCTCCTTCTCTACCTCCTCCTCCTGCTTCTCCTTCTTCTCCTCCTGCTTCTCCTCCTGCTCCTCCTCCTCCTCCTCTTCCTCCTCTTCCCTGTCCGCCTCCTCCGCTTCATCATCCCCCTCCGTCCACTCGCCGTCCCGCCCCGCCCTCCCGCCCCCGCCTCTCCCCGAGGAGAGTGGAGGGATGGAAGTGCGGAACGCGACGAAGCGCTGCGTGCGGCCGTGACGAACGACGAACGGGGGGTGAAGGCCAGGAGACGAGGGGAATAGGTCAGGGAATGTGGAGTGGGGCGGGGAACGAAGGCATGGATGGCAGGGAAGCGGGCCCGCGCCAGCGGCAAACATTACACCCACGATCCGGGGCCAGGAGCGGATCTGCACGTGCATCGCGTACAGGGGGCCTCCTGCCCAAGGGCCTGACGGCAGCGAGCGAGGCTCACACCCCTCACACCTTCTCACCCCCTGGAGCTGCTTGCCGAGGCCTCCTGCTCCTCCCCCCAGAAGGCTGACAGCAACACTCGACGTTCACGCCTTTTCCCGACGAGGTCTGGTCGCTGAGATGTCCTCCTCCTGCGTCTTTTCCCCCTCCTCCTCCTCCTCCTCCTCCGCCTCCTCCCCCCCCCCGAGAGCTGGCATCAGAAGTCCTGGATCCCGACCTCTCACCTCATGCCCCGCTCCTGACCGAGGTGATCGTGCCATCACCACTCTCCCCTTTTCACCTCGCCCTGTGAGGGCTAAACCATGGTCAAATCGGGACGTTTGTAATGTCGACATGTGTGTTGCATCGGGCCGCATGGGCACAACAACGTCCGCATGAGCATCGAGCCGCGTCGGGTCGACGGAAGTTCGGACTCGATTCGGCTCGGACTGACCGGGAGTGGCATATCGATTACGCTCCAACGTAATAGCAGTCGATGTTGCGGTGGCAGTTGCAATGGTTGGGACTGGTGTAACGATGGGTCTTCGGCAGAAGCAGGGATCGGCCGTCGTATAAGCAGAACCACTGGTGCCATTAGTAGTGACCACAACGGTCACATGCACGATAAATCATGGGCCACCGCCGTCGTAGTACAAATATCCGTCGTGTTTGCTGCAATGGCATTTGCAAGCGTATGTGTTTGCAAATGCGGCTTCCGCAATGCATGATTAATTATGCAGCTAGCAGGAACCCTGTCACCACAATTGCGACTGCTACCAGGAGCCGCACCGCAATGGCAAAGACCCGTTGCGCCACCCCATGCTACATGTATACTTGCCTGCCGTACGGGTCCACCCATCATCGTATGTCCGGAAAGGGAGAGGACACTCTGAGATCCTAGCGTCACATTGTTGTTTGCAACGGGCGATCCCCGTAATTATGCCCTCACGGAGCGATCTGGCTCGAGAAATGCCGCGGAAAAGTGCAACTGCGTTCGTGATGTTTCACGATGTTGGCCACCATGCGATGATGTAGTCCCGAACGCTGCGTCAATTGGGGCACTGGTACGGCCAACTGTCGCGGCGACGTGGGCCCTAATCTCCAGCCCCGCGCAAGCCGCTCTCCAAGCTCGAACGGTCTCCGCCCTCGGAAGCCTCTGGCTGTTGATCCCAACACGTCGTGGCCTACTCCGAGTAGTACTCGCCACGAAGGAAGTACTACTACTCGTCGCGAGTACTACTCGCGACGAGCAGTGCTCGCGACGAAGGGCGAGCAGCACTCGCCACGAAGGAGGCGCGTCCCGAGGCAAACAATGATTCTAGACCCATGGGCCTTGCCGGTCCGGGGGGGCCCGTGGATGTCCCCGGCGGCCCGAGAGCGGCGAAAGGCCTGCAGGACCCGCTTCCCTCAGGACCCGCCTCGATGATGCTACGTACGGTAGGTTCGTGCGGCGTCGGCGCGCGCAGAGGTTTTTGACACCGCGTCGATCGTTCTACCTTGAATCGATCGCGGCCCCGATCGTTCGAGGTTGAATTCCGTCGGGCCCAGTGGCGTTATCGTGTCCCTCGGTGCTTCCGCGTCGCAGAATTCAACCTTGAACGCCTTCGCCGGCGTCGCAGGCGCGCCAACGCCGCGCGAACCTACCGTACCTGAAACGATGGAGCGTTTCCTCAGAAAGGGGAGCAGTCTTCGTAAACAGTACAGTCGGGCTCGATTGGACAGGACACGCGAGAGGACACAAGACCCTTCCGAGGGTCACATCCCCATAGGAGTGTAAGAAGGCACGTGTCGCGGGGCACAGGACACACGGGTACCCTTGAGCTGGCAGGGTCGACCTACTAATCTGGGCCGACTGTACCTGAAACAATGGAGCGTTGCCTCAGAAAGGGGAGCAGTCTTCGTAAACAGTAACCTTCGGAGGCCCTCGCAGACCTCCGAGAATGCATATCTAGGCAGCGTGTTCTTCTGGGCCCCTGATCTCGGGAGCGCGGTTGAGGCTTACATCCAAATCCAGTGCGTCTTGGACATTCTTAGAAGTGGCGCCACAAGGCTCTGAAGCACTGGATATGGATAAACGCCGGCTGCTGGAAAGGGAACCCGAAATTCCCAGCTGCAGTGGATGCGGTCGGACCTAGGACAGAAGAGCATGCTTCAAAAAAAACGAAACCCTTTGCCGGCAAAAACGAATAGCATTCGAGAGTAACCCCCCCCCAGGATGCACAATAACGTCCACCAAACACGAAGAACACGAGGGTGCCCTCCCCGAACCGACCTCCATCTTATACACCGGTCCGACCGTATGGGCAAGAGTCTTTCTTGCCCGCAGGGAAACGCACCCAGTGGCGCTCAAGTGCTCAACCTTGAGCGCCAGCGCCGACGTCAGCGCCAAGGCCCGAAGGGGCCAGGCCGCAGGCCCCGCCGCAACCCCGAGCCGAAGCAGTCGGTGCATCGGGCAGTCGGCCTGCTGTCGCAAGCTGCGCCCAGGGGCCTGCTCCTCCTCGTTGGCACCCCTCTCGTTCTCCCCCGCCTGCTCCTCTCACTCATCCCCTCCCCGCTTCCTCCTCTTACGCCTCTTCCTCCTCCTCGCATTCCTCCCCCCCGGCAGCCCTGCTCACATGCCTTCACCCCTGTCCGCTCCTCACCCTCCCCGCCTCCACGTTCTCTACCTCTTCACCCCTCCTCCCAGTCCCGTGGTCCCTGCCTCCTCCTCCTCCTCCTCCTCCTCCTCCTTCTCCTCCCCTTCCTGCTCCTCGTCATCTTCCTCCCCTCCCCCTCTTCCTGTTCTTCTCGTCCCCGTCCTCCTCCTCGTCCTTCTTTTCGTCGTCGTCCTTCTCAAGCTACCTCCCCAGATAGTTCCGCTGCTGAAAATCGCCCTCCCGCTCGCTGTCGGGGCGCAGGGCTCGTGGAAATTGCGCACGCGTGCGCGCGCAGGACCTTGTATGGCAGAGCTGCCCACAAGCGGAGTCCTACCACGAGCAGGTCTGCTCTAAAATCGGGTGATTGCTGCTGCCTTTTTCACCTACACCCCTCTAAGGGAAAAAAGCACCTACAATTGCATGCGCGAGCCAGCCATGCCTCACTGTGGCCGCGAAGATGAGCTGTCGCTCTCGTACGACGTCCTGAGGGAGTAGCAATAGAGAGCAGAGGACAGGTCGGCATGCAACAAACCAAATCCTCGCTCAACGATCCCAGACTACAGGGTTCCTGTCAATCGTGTGTGCATTGTGGAGACTGGCCTTCACACATGTTTTTGTTCGGGGCACAAGCCCTCTAGTCAGAATCGGATGTCCCGAGAGCGCGCTTCTGAAGGCTTCCCTTTGAGGCTAGCCTGGAAGCCTGTGGAGGAAGGGTCGCCCCCACTCTGGCCACACCCCCTCCCAACGCAAGAGAGGGCAAGCAACAATACCGAACGGAACGATCGCTTCGGGCCAATCGCGCGACGGGAAGCGACAGACGGTCAACCGCATTGTTCTATGCAACAGAACATCGCCTTCCATCACCTCCTCCTCCTCCTCCTCCTATTCCTCCTCCTCCTCCTCGTCGCTACTCGCTCCTCTCGAGGGCCCCCAAACCGCGTGGTGACGGACCACGTCGTGACCTGGGAACCCCCAGCGACCTCACCGCGGTCCGCAACCACACGGTCTTGGGATCCTGGAGGCCCCAATATCCCGAGACACCCTCAGAAAACGGACCGAGTCTCAAAACCGTGCGGTGACCCCAAACCACCACTGACTCACCACGCAGCGTGGTCACCACACCGGGGGCTCCCGACTCCTCCTCCTCCTCCTCCTCCTCCTCCCCCTCCTCCCCCTCCTCCGCCTCCTCGTCCCTGCTCCTTCCCCGCCCCGAAGGGGGTACCTGGCGTGGGGGGGCACGACCCGTGTCCGTCGGGTGAACTGAGGTCCCCTGGGTAGCTGGCCCCAGGATCGGTAGCCACCCTCCCCAGGGGGGGCGATCTGAGGTTGGCGACCTGGGCTGCAAGGCCCTTGCTGGGTCCCTCCCCCCAGCAAGGGGTCCCCAGGCCCCGTCCTCCGCTCGCCGCCCGGCTCTGGGAGGCGTGATGAACAGGCCGAGTGCGATGCCGTGCATCCCTTTAGGGCATGTGCCATGTGCCCATGATTTTTGTTATGCGCCTGGGGCACTTTCTTGACGAATTCAGGGCGGCCGTTCGACCTCTGAGAGCAGTGTTCAGCGCGGTTGGTCTCATGGTGTCTTTGCGCAACGTGGTATGTGGCTTCCCACAGTTTGCATTGCCCATGTCTGTTCATCCAGTCCAGGGCTTCATGGCACCGTTTCACCTGTCCCAGTGTCTTTTAGCCCCAGAGGCTGTCATGTCTGTTTAACAGAGGGGACGGCCCAGCGCCATCAGCCAGCGTCCGCCGCCGCTCCATCACGTTGGGCACTACTCGCCGTGAAGCCGTACGCAAACCATTGCGAACATACGATAATCAAGGGAACGTCCTCCCTAACCTCCCATATCCACGCCATCACCACCTCACGCCACCGTGCGCGCTTGCCTTCTGCGGCTTTTGCTGCTCCCCCTCGCCTCCTGCATGGCTGTGTCTGCTCGTTGCGCTTGTCCCCTTTTTTCAAGGGGCCCCAGGACATACAAATACACACAAATAAAAATGTTCGCCATAGTTTCCTACATTTTCTGGGTTTCTGTCTTCCCCCCCACTTCCCATATTTTCCCATATTTTCTGGGAATCGCCGATGAATTGTGTCTGTGTGTTTTTTCCCCTCCTGATTTTTCCTCTCCTCCTCCTCCTCCGGCGCCTCCTTCCCCAGCGCTGCAGGCCGGCTCTTGCAGCCGTCGCGCCGGCCAGCCGAGCCGCGCGCAGGATGGGCACGACCATTACTTCTTGGGGCGCCAGAGAGCAGGAGGAGCAGGAGGAGGAGGAGGAGGAGGAGGAGGAGGAGGAGAACGAGGAGACGGAGCAGAGGAGGAGGAGGAGGAGGAGGAGGAGGAGGAGGAGGAGGAGTGAACGTACCTTGCGAGGAGGAGGAGGAGCAGGAGGAGGAGGAGGAGGAGGAGGAGGAGGAGGAGGAGGGAGGAGGAGGAGGAGGAGGAGGAGGAGGAGGAGAGGAGAGGAGAGGAGAGGAGAGGAGAGGAGAGGGCACACCCTGGAGGGTGGGCCGCGGGTCTGCCCCAGGGGACGCCGCATACCTGGACCTGACAGCTGGCCACGGGTGCAGACCCCGGGCCTGGGCACTCCGTGGTGCTTGCCGCTGGAGGCGCAGGAGCGGATTGTGCGAGAGCGGAGCCCTTCGGCTGGAGGGTGTCAGCTGACACGCTGGACGGCGTCCTCCTGGAGGAATCAAGTGCCGGCAGCAAATACGGGGGCTGCTCAACACTGATGATTCAGTCACCCTTCCACCTCCCGCTGCTGCAAAACGGCACCCGAGGGCCCAAAGATCTCCCCAAGACGGCCCAAGAGGCCTCCAAGAGGGCCCCCAAACAGCCCAAGAGGACATCAAGACAGCAGCCCAAAACGCCTCGGAGACGGCCCCAGATGCCCCCAAGACGGCTCCAAGAGCGTGCCCAGACGGGGGACCCGAACGGACGTTTCGAGCCGTCGGCCCCAAGAGGCTCCCAGGAGGCCCCAAGAGGTTCCCCAAAGCCGCCGAGAGTCCCACAAGAGGTTCCCAGGAAGCCCGGAGCGGCCCCCAAGAGGCTCCTAAGAGGCTCCCAAGAGGCCCCAAAACTCCTCCCCAGAGCGCCCCACCAAAACTCCTCCCAAGAGGGCCCCGACAGACTTCCGAAGAGACCCCAAGACCCATCGACTCAGGACCACGTCAGCGTCGTCGTCGTTGCCGGCGCCGCCGCCGTTGTCGCCGTCGTCGTCGTCGTCGTCGTCGTCGTCGTCGACGTCGTCATATTCGTCGTCGTCTCCCTGCAGGTTCGGCGGCACCGGCCGTAAGGCCTTCGCCATATATGGCCCCCGACATCGACAAAGGTCGGAACATGTCTTGATGATGACCGATACCAGACAAAAAAACACGGTGGCTGCTTGGAAGGACGATGAGCACGAGGACGATGGGTTGGGATCCAAACAATCCAAATAATGACGAACACCATTTCAAACAGCAGACACATCTATTGGATTCATCTGGTCAGACGAGCCGGCATCATGCACTGCACTTCTTATGGCGCGGTGGCACTCACAAAGCGCGAGGGGCAAGCTCTCGATTCGAGGTGCAGGGCTGCCACAACCTGGCCCAGGCCAGCCGCCAGACTCGTGGCCGTCGGGCGGGGTCTGCCTCCCGGTGCTCATTCGTCGAAGCTGCGCGCCCACAACAGGGACATCCTCCACAACGCCCTCAGCGCCAAGTACACGATGGACGGCTCGTCCAAATCCGACAGGCCTTCCGCGCGCATGGGGAAATCAAACGATACGGATACCGCTGCTCCCAGGACCTCTCCTGGGGTGTGTTCTGACCAGAATTTCGAGGCGACTCCAGCCGTGAGACTCGCAATCGGGGTACCGTTTCCTCCTCCAGAGGCCTCCAAGATGGGGTCCGAGTAAATGGGGTCGGAGGATCGCGCCGCATCCCCGATGCATCGGCGAAGCTGGCGATGCACCAGCGGCGTCGGGGTGAAGAAAATCGGGCACCACATCGAGCCGAATCGCCGATGCATCGGCGATGCAGCACGAGCCTCCAGCCCGATATACTCGGACCCCACTTGGGAAACCCGGATCATCTGAGCGCAGGCCTCCCGCGCGCCCGGACAGGCTGGCCAGCTCCGACGGTGGCTCTGTGCTTCGCGGGGCCTGCGACGATGAGGCCTCCTCCGCCGGCGGTCCGCCAGAGGGGCCCGGCCCGCCTTCCGCGCGCCTGCACGCGCTGGCCAGCTCCCAAGGCGGCTCTCCGTTCCCTTGGGCCTGCCACGGGGATAACTCCTCCCGGCTGCACGCTGAGAGCGGCTCTCGGACAGAGTGACCATTGATGCGCGCGGCTCGCCGAGCATGGCGTGCCTTGCGACAGTAGTAGCGGCCTGCATATTCGGGTTTGCTCCCCCCCCCCCCCCCCCTCGGGCGCGGCCTGACCGACCCTTTCCGTGGCGATCCCTTTCCGTGACGAGCCCCTCATTGTCGAGGCTCCCCTCTGGCCACCTGCCCACGTCTTCGTTCGAGGCGAGGGGGTCGCCACAGAAAACGGGCTCTGGACCCTCAGGGCCTCCCCCCAGGACCAGCTCTTCGTGCTGAGCAACTTTCTGACGGTTCCAAGGGTCCGTTCCCGGCCCCTGAGGACCCACTCCCTTCCTGGCGATTTGCCAGGCGTCGGTCAGGCCGGCCACCGGCCCCCCCGACCCCCGAAAGCCGGGCACCAAATCAGGACCTGCTCGCGTCGTGAAGAAGTCCGGACAGGCAAGTGTTGACCACTCTCGACCTCCAGGGGCCCGCGCCGGGCCCCGGGAACGTCACAACAACAGCTCGGGGCGAAAAGAACAGCCCCAGGGAATGGGTCGGAACTTCTGGGGGCCGCGTGCTGAAAAGACCAAGGCATCGCATGTCTGGGAAGGTCGACGCAGATGGACATTCTAGTACCATGTGTCTTCATTGGAGGCGTTGTTCCGAAGCGGAATTCGCCGGCCCAACGGGCCAGAGGCGTGCTAAGATCTCCGGTGACTGCTTTACAATCTTTCTACTTCGCGCGCGCGGGGCGGCCCCTGGGGGCCCCCGGGCGGAAAGTACCCCGGCAAGGTCCCGAGAGAGTCCCGGGAGGAGTCACCAGGGCGCTCCAGCAGCGCACCAACGCGGCTCCGAGACGTCCCCGAGAGCCCCAAGAAGGGCCAAGAGGCTTCCAAGAGGCCCCCAAGATGCTACATGAGGGGTCCGAGATGCCACAAGATCGCTCCAAGACGCCCACGATGGCCCCCAGACGCCCCAAGAGGCCTCCAAGAGCACTCCCGAGAGGGCCCCAAGAGGCAAAATTCACTGCTTTTCCTTAGGTTTTGGAGAGATTTTGGCGTTTCCACCTTTTCGGCTTCACGACACCCCAAGACGGCCCAAGAGGCCCCCAAGACCGCCCCAAGAGGGCCCAAGAGGCCCCCAAGAGGGCCCCAAGACGGCCCAAGAGGGCTCCAAGACGGCCCAAGAGGCCTCCAAGACGGCCCAAGAGGGCCCCAAGAACGCCCCAAGAGGGACCCCAGGGGGGGAACACGAAACAATGTTTCGAGCCCTCGGCCCTCAGAAGTCCCCAGGAGGCCCCAAGAGGCCCCTAAGAGGCCCCAAGAGGCCCCCAACAGGCCCTCAGGAGGCCCCCAAGAGGCCCCCAAGCGGCCCCAGGAGGCCACCCAAATGCCCCCCCGAGCACGCAAGCAAGTGCCAGCGACGCTACACTATGGGCCGGCGGAATGAGCGAAGCGATTCAATAATAGTACAATCATCTTGTGATGAGTCTCTTCCCCGGCGGCATGGCCAGAAAGCGCCCGCCACGGACCACATGCTGCAAGATTTCTCGGCGCGCACGTCGTCCCTGAGGGCGCCATGCACACATACATAGCAGCGGGATGTCTGGGTGACGCCGAACTCTGGTGAAGGGGCCACTCTTGCGCGCAACCGGCTCCTCCTGCGGCGCCCACCCGGAGGCCAGGCCTGGGCTGTCGCAGCCGCCGCTCGACGGGGGCGCCGCGGGGGGGGCCTCGTCGGTGGTGCTTCGGCCCGAGCTCGGGCTCCTGCCGGGGCTGCCCGAAGAGCTCGAGGGGGTTCTCATCCCAGACACGCTCGCGCGGTGGCAAAAGCCAGGACTGGAGTGTTGTTTCGCCGCGTTCCGCTTCTGGGGGGAGCCCTCGCCAGGCCCCTATGGGCCACCCAAAACGACTCAAGATAACGAGCTGGCGCCCGGGGCAGGTGTCGAGACTGGACTCCTGGGGACCACGTCTTGAGGAGAGTCAGGACGTCGCACGTCTGGAAGGCAGGGCACACCAGAGCACACGGGCAAGGAACCGCTTGCAGAGACCCGCCCCGGAGGGCCCGCGATGGACTCTTCTGCGAGGGCCAGCCGGCGCTCCAGGCGCGGCATGGAGAGCATAAGACGCGACAGGCAGGGCACAGAGGCACCATCTGGATGTGGCAGAGTCTCCCCGTGCTGAGCATCCAGACCCCCTCGAGTCATGAAGAAAGCACGACGTGCGCGTTTTCTCTGTCATGTTCTGCCTCGGGGGGTCCTTGCCGGGCCTCGGGGCCGTCAAAAAACGACTCAGGATGGAAGAACAGTCCCCAGGAATGGGTCGATACCCCTGGTGGCCACGCATGGAAACAGAAGCAAAAAACACGACGACGGAATTCTGGGGCACTAGGGAGACCCGACGCTAAGCAGACGCCCTCGGCGGATCGCGCAGATTTCCTCGGTCGGCAGTGGGCCCCCGTTCCCTCGGGCGTGCGGAGCGCGCCAGGGGAGGCGCTGGGGATGCTGCCAGTGGGGTGCCCGGCGATGCCCATAGGGGTACCCATACCGCTGCTTCATGGACCTCTGCCAGGGTGCGCTCTGATCAAAGCTTCTCCGCTCGGTCCACCCCATCAGTAGGGAGGGTAGAATATGAGTGAGCGTGTCAGTGATTGTCCACCTGTTGCCTATTCGATCCGTTGTTCATGCTCATGCTGTGTCTTCGAACGGATGCGAGCTACACGTCAGTAGTCTTTGCTCCAGGGATGGTCGGAAGACCACCGGAGCTGCGTGTGCAGGCGGCGCTCATGCACGTTGCCCGGGCCGCTCTCTCGAGGTAAATTGCTCTGCGGGGGAAAGGGTACCGGTATCTAACAGGTGATATGTCGAGCCCCCCTCCCGACGTCTTATATTTTTCGCATGGACAGAACATTAGCTTGGAGCGCAACTCGGGGGTGCACGATAATGGACAAGTCGGAGGGCGGGGGAGAGAAACCGCCTGCGAATGTCGGCACCTTTCCCCCTCTGGGTCCCAAGAATTCCCCGCGGAACTAAGGAAGTTCATGCTCGTGCCGCTCTCTGCTCCCCAGGAGGAGGAGGAGGAGGAGGAGGAGGAGGAGGAGGAGCAGATCCTCCCGCGGGGCTGCCTTCCACGGGTCTCCGCGGCCAGTGCCACCAGCTTCTCCCCGAGCTCGCGCAGCGCCTCTTCTGCGGCAACTCGTGGGAGCCTTCCATGTCATATGTTGGCTCTTGCGAATCGACGCCGATCAACGCGAGTCGACGCTCGTCGACGCTACATCGACGCCAATCGACGCCAAATCGGCGCATCCTCGTCGATGACCACACGCTGGCACACGCCAGTGCACTCTTTGAAACGGAATTGCAAGGACATGCGCGGCTCCCATGAGTTGCTGCCGAACGCCTCCGCGTCCTGCGAGCGTCCACTAGCGTGGCATGGGCCACTGGCGTGGCTTGGGCCACTGGCGTGGCATGTGCCCATCTCACCCTCCTGGATGAGGACATGCGCTGTGCCCTTCGGGCTTCGAGGGGCAAGCGTAAACCTGAGGATGGCGGGGCTGAGATACCATGGCCCGGTGGGGATGGAGATACGGGGCGCACAAGGACATACTAGTACGAGATGTCCTCCTCTGAGGCGCGCGTCCGACCCGAACATATAGCACACACATCTTGTGAGGGATCGTCTCCCGAGCGGTACGGGCAGTAAGCGCCCACCACTTAGCACTTACTGCAAGATGTCCGAGCGCGCGCGACGCCCCTGGCGTACAGACGCAAACATAATAGTAGTATGCTCGTGTGTTTGGGTATGTCCTGCGCATGCCAGCTTAGCACTACTAATGTTGGTCGATGTGGCGTCTCAGGACGACCAAATCGACCACAACCAAAACTCAAGTGTTCATGTCGAGGTCGGTGGGTCCTTCCCGAGTGGCCCTCCCGAGAAGATCCACTAAGCTGTGGCTGGAGATGGGGATCGACCAACCGATGCTGACCTCCCCGACCTCCGGGGAGACCAAGAGGCACCCATACGGCAGGTTCGCGTCGTGACGACCCCAGCGTTGGTCTCTGACACCGCGTGGATCGTTCAACCTTGAACGATCGGCCGTTCCCGCAACGTCCAATCGTTCAACATTGCCCGATTCTACGTCGCCGCCGGCGTTCAATATTGAACGCCGCCGGCAGGGTCGCCGCCGGTCGACACGACGCGAACCTGCCGTACCACAACTCCACGGGCCACTCACAAGACGAATCCTACGAGGGCGACGAGGGCCCCCCAGGAGGCCCCAAAGAGCCAACACAAAGGAAATGTACAGGCATCGGTGCCCTCCCCTCCTCTCGGGCCGGGCGACAGGGGGAATATCAGAAGGGGAGTTTGAGAATCACCTCACGTAGCTGATCTTCCTGGAGCCTCCCAGCGCCAGAGGCGGCTACGTATCGAGGAACGGGCCCCTCGGTGGGGCCGAAACCAGCTGCATTCAGCAGATCTCGTAACCCCCCCTTTTCCAATCCCCCCCCTTTCGTCGGGCCCGATCCTCAGTCCCAACCAGAAATATTTTGATAACACTTCGTGCAAACCACAATAAGCCCTTAGAACATTCTTTGGTAGGCCTATAGACGAGCCGGGACGCTTCGCCACTGCTTGAGTAGAGGCATCGGTACCTCGATGGGTAAGTTTTCCATAACCACCAACAGAAGTAGGAGGGGGAGGGGGTCCTCCTCCACCTCCTCCTCCTCCTCCTCCTCCTCCTCCTCCTCCTCATCCTCCACCTCCTCCCCCCCTCCAACTTATGGGGGTGACGTGGTGGAAAACAGGCCCCTCATACCTCCCCCTCCTCGGAAGCTCGCGCTGCGCCTCCGCATCCCGCGAGCGCCCGCAGCCGACGCCGCCGCGCGCGGCTGCGCCCTCCTCCGCCGGCGCCCCGCTCGGGACCTGCGGGCCGCGGCCCCCACGGGCGCTCGCCGAGGGCGCCTCGGCGGGGCCGTCGGCGGGCCGCGCCCGCCGAGGGGCCGGCACGCCTGCCATGGGCGCGCGGGGCCCATGGGTCGGGCGCTGCCGGAGGTGCCTTCTCAAAATCCCTTCTCAATTGACCCCCCCCAAAGCAGCGGACCCCCCTCCAAGTGCGACCTAATATTCCGGACCCTCTCTTCGACGGAGCCCCTAAGCTCCAATCCAAAGAAAACGCCCCCCCAAAAAACAGGACCCCCCCAAATTACAAAAAAGGCGCCTCAAAAAACTGGACCCGGGGGACGATTGATAAGGGCTTTGGAGTTCGCTCAGAGTCAGGCCTCAGAGGATCTTACAGAAACTGGGGGCGCTTGTGCTTCTGCTCCCAAGGAAGACGCTTTAGCATTTCCGTTTTGGGCGCCGTTCCCGTGAACGTCTTCAGGTCTGGGAACGGCCCGATTCGCACCTGGTCGCTTGCTTTCCTTTTCCAATATGTTGTACATCTGTCTGAGGCTCACAATGCCGCCGACCTGACGTCCACATTCCAGGGTGTCGCTTTTAGAACGTTTCGATCGAGTCAAGAGCGAAACATGGAAGACAGACAAAGGGAACAAAAAGCCACAATCGCTTTCACAAACAACTGGGCGAGGACAACAAGAACCGCGGCGACTGGCTGCTCGCGGCTGTCGGTCTCCCCTTGGGATCCGGGCGTGGCATTGTTTTGCAAACTGGGCGTTTCCTCCCATCTTCAGAACCAGGGGCGGCCACTGCAGCTTGATCCGGCTCGAAACATGTGTTCTAAGGCTCTGGCCATATTTTGTATTTCACTGCTTCTGCGGTAACGCGTCAGCTCCCAGGGGGGTGCCATGTCGGGCATTGGTGTGCCCCAGAAATGACAAGGCCGTTTGTCGCCGTTGTCGAATAACCGCCTCTGGAACATGACAACGGTACAGCGGTAAAGGAACAAATCCCGATAACTGGAAAAAAAACTGCTCCGGGATTAAAACTGAAACAGGAAACGAATAGTTAACAAATGGCGACGGAACGGGGACAAAAACGAGGCCCGAACTGACACCAAAAGTGCGCAACGGAACCAGAGACAAACCTGCCCTGCCGAATCCCAGCCACAGGGCCGCCAAAGATCGACTCGAGTTTAGAATCCGGCCCGCCATAAGTGGTCGAGACCCAGGGTGCGGACGTGTCGGCCCACCATAAGTGGTCGGCCCGCAACGTCGGGAGGCCTAGCCCAAGGTGTCCACATCATCTCAGGTGAGGCCCGTGGCCTGCAGAGCACTCCCCTGGAGGCCCAGAGGGCCCCGAGGGGGCTCCAACTGGGGACCCGGGAAGCTGGGGACGCCCTGGGCCGGGAGCACCTCTGGCCACCCCCGCATGGAGGAGGGCGCCCTTGAGCCACCACGGCCGGGGGCGACCACGACGGCGCTCGAAGCTCTTCCGCCTTCTCCTTCTCCGTCCTCCCGCGTGCGCAGTGGGCCGAGCTAGGGCACTTCTCCGTCCTCCGCTCTTCTCCGCCTTCTCCTTCTCCGTCCTCCGCCTTCTCCTTCTCCGTCCTCCGCTCTTCTCCGTCCTCCCGCGTGCCGACGCTTTCGCAGTGGGCGGAGCCGGGGCACCCCCCGGCGGGCGGCCTGCGGTGTGGAGACCGGCCCTCTGCACACGGCAGACGGCCCGATGCTGGCAGACAGATGCAGTGGCCAGGATACAGTCGGACTTGATTGGAGAGGACACGCGGGAGGACACAAGACCCTTCCAAGGGCCACGTTGCCACAGAAATGCAGGAGGCATGGGTCGCAAGACACAGGACACGAGGGTACCCTTGATCTGGCAGGGTCGACCTACCAATCCGGGCCGCCTGTAGAATTTCTCGACTCGGGAATCCCCACGAGTGCATCTGCGGATCCTTGTCCCCGTTGGGCTTGCGAAGACCGGCGTGCGGCGACCGCTGGCACGGGCGGATCACGAGGCTCGAAGCAGACCTGCCAGACAAGGCCCACCGATCTGGGCGAGAGGGGCTCGCGCACTATCCGTGTCCCCCGTTGGCTCCCCCACACAGGAGGCCCAGGTGCGCTGCCTGCCAGCACCCGCCCACGAGGCTCCGAAGAGACGAACGTTCACCGCAACAAACAGGCCTTCTGCCTGAAAGGCCCAGCTGAAACGGACACGAATGGGGCCGTGCAATGCCCACTGGCACGCTGGTGGTCCCACCCGCTGGGCGGCCGGGGTCATATGCACGACAGCACGTGGTGGTCAGATGCGATGCGTTGAGCGTGCGCGAGCGGCTGTCAGTGAGCATCAGTAAGCATACGAACCAAAAGGTACGAGTTTGGGTGTGAGAATGAATCTGGGTTTGATGGGTATGGCCATTGTGATGACTCTTGCCAAGAGCACGCGTGCGAGCGTAAGCGTCCGCAGGAACAGTCACGAACACGAAAGCGGAGGTGAGAATGCGAATGAGACTGTGAGTGTGAATCTGGGGATGAGCCTGCGCAGATGGGCGAGTCTGCGAAGCAGCCTGCCTGGTGACGCATGGCTGCCTCCGCATGGTCGGCCGAGCCTGACAAAGTTCAGCAGCTGACGAGGGGCCAGGGACACGTGCTCCGAGTGGTGGGATTGCTGGTTGGAGTTCATCTGCTTCGGAGTCGTTTCGGGGCTTGGATCCCTGAGCTTGTCCTGGCCCCCTTGCGGTGCCCTCCTCAACCGTCGGGCCCAGATGGACCTGGTGCTCGCCAGGCAGCCTGCACCTCTCATGGACAGCCGACCCGATCAGATCCCTGGCCGGCGTGGACTCCTCGGGACCTCTCGCCCTGGACTCCTCCCTCCTCCCCCTCCCTCCTCTCCCGCACTACTGCCCCCCTCCCCCGACGTCCTCCTCGCACTTCTTCGCCCTCTTCCCTGCCGACGACCCCCCCACTGCGACCCCCACGCTCGCTCTCTCACCCCCGCCCGTTCGCCCTCCCTCACAGAAACCCGAGGCCCAGATACCCGACGCCGCGATTGTTCCCGACATCCTGACTCGCTTGCCAAGGCCAGTGTTCGATTCCGCGTCGTTGTCTGGGGCGAAAAAAACCATCCGCTCTGCTTCTCCTGTCAAGGCGTGGGGCGTGTGTGGAGAGCCAAGGAAAGGGACGAGCAATCCGGGCAGCCTGCCCAGTCCTGGTCGGGGTTGAGACAAGCCTGACGATGATTCAACAACGTGCCGCTCTTCGGACGCGGTATTTCGTGTGCGTGTTTCTGTCCGGCGAGGGTTGCCACAGGCTGCGGCATCCCTCAAAGTTCCGCAATGTGCGGCACGGGTCCAAAGCGAGGGAATTGATCCATGAGAAAACGCAGCAAAAACACTGACTCGATACATCCGAACGACGCCCAAACAATTGGCAACAGCGAGGAAGACAGCGGCGGCGGCGACGCCGTGGCCGAAACGGGGGGACCGGCGGCGCAACAGCGGGGCGGCAGGATCCCGCAGAGGGGGCACTGCCGACTGCACTCGCCGAGCCACTTGCCGATGCAGGCCCGGTGGAAGTGGTGGCCACACGGAAGGGAATTCACCTCTGGCGGGAGGGGAACCCTGATGAGACTGAGGGGGCCGGACGGTCATTCACTGTCCCTGTGTGCGTGGCTGAAGTGGAGTTCCGCGGTGCGAAGTGTTGTTGGTATTGTTGCTGCTGCTGATACTGCTGCTGTTGCGATGCTGGTGTTGCTGTTGCTGTTGTTGTTGCTGCTGTTGTTGTTGGTGTGGTTATTGCTGTGACTGTTGTGGTTGTTGTGTGAATGGTTGTGGTTAAGGTTGTGGTTGTGGATGTGGTTGCTGTTGTTGTCGTTATTGCTGTTGTTGCTATTGTGTTTGTGTCTGTTGTTGTGTTTGATGTCGTATGATTCCGCTGCTGTTGTTGATGATGGTGTTGTCGTCGTCCTCGCCCGCGACCCACCCGCGTCCCAGCCGCGACCCCGCGACCAACCCCGCAACCCACCCGCGACCCACCCGCGACCCAACCCGCGCCCGCCCCTTCACTCGTATCCGCGACTGCGGGTGCTATATACTAAGCATTTTGGCGATCTGGTTTGGTTTAATCCTGACCGTCTTCCTAGACTTCGACCTCAAAGGCCCACTCTGGGGCCCCTGGGCAGTCGGACATGGAGCCGGGATGCGGCGCTACCCCCAGGGAAAGGGTCGGGACCTCTGGGGCCGCGCACCGGTACGCACACATCGCTGGATGTGTGGGAAAGGGGAACAGTAGGAACAAGACGCTAGGAACAAGACGAGGTGAGATGGCGACTCCTGGAAGATGCTCGTGCACACGACGAGGCCACGATCCCTCGTGACAAAAACGATGTGCGCGCGTCCCGACCTTCTAAGACGGTCCACTCAGGCAACCAAGACAATGAAGATTGCAGAGTATGCCTGGAAGACGGCGCAGATGGCCCCAAGACCGCCCAGAATTGCTTCAAGACTGCCCATGATGCCTCCGTGAGAGCCGCAAACTTACCTCCAACAAGGTGCACGGACGCAGAACACATTGATATCCGATTGGCTCTTGCATGAAGTGTGCATGCTCCGCTTTCCCCACTACCGTCAGCTCAAGACGGCCCACGAAGCCTCCACGATGGCTCCAAGACGGCCCAAAACGCCTGCAAGAAGGACTCCATATGGCCCAAAACGGCCCCGCGATGGCTCAAGAGGCACCCAGTACGTCTCCAAGGCGACCCAGGAGGGTCTGCCGTGGGATCCCAAACGGCCTCAGAAAGCCGATGTGCGGCTCAAGACGGTCCACGACATCAACCAGACTTGCAACTTACAGCCAGGAGGGCTCAAGACTGCACAAGAGAGCCCCGAGACGGCGTAAGAGGACCCCAAGACGGCTCAAGAGGACCAACAGAAAGTCCCAGGATGGCCCACAAGGGCTTCACGATGGCCCACGAGGCATCCAAGACGGCCCAAGAAGGCGCCGAGGATCCTACGATGGCCCATGAGGCACCGAGAACAGCCCGAAGACGGCCAACGAAGCCTCCAGCGGCACCTTCCACGGCCTTTGATAGCGCATGACTCTTTGACGCCCAAAATGGCTCACGACGGTCCAAAAGCATACCGAATACGGCCGAGAGGGCACCAAGACGGCCCAAGAGCCCCGAAACGGCCGAAGGCAGCTCCATGACGGCCCCGAGTGACTCCCATAACTGCCCCAAAGGAGGCCCAAACAGCGACAAGACAGCCCGAATGAGCTCCATGAGCGTTCCGTTTGACGAGAAAATGAATCTCTCCCCAGCCAGACGCGTGCGGAAGACGGATCCTTTGCAGGTTCCCCATCGCGCTGTTGAAGCGGGAATCTCTGCAAGCCCCCACTTCAGCCAAACGCGGGCGGCAGAGTGGCCATTTGCAGTTCCCCCTCCCGCAGCCAGACCAAGAAGGCTCCAAAGCCCCCGTTGCAACAAAACTAGACGGAGCGAGAATCTCGCGAAGTTCTCTCTCCCGCAGCTGGAGCGAGAACGCATTCAAACTCCTCTCCAACCAAATGCACACGGCAGCGAGGACCTTTCAAATTCCTCTCCCGCGGATGGAGCGAGGCCCCTTTTCAAATTTCGTCTCCAATTCAACGCAAACGGGGCCGAGAACCTTTACAACTTGCGTATTCCGAAGCTGGAGCGCAGACATTGTCCAGGTTCGCACTCCAACCAAACGCAGGCGAGAGCGAAAACCTTTCCACGTTCTCCCACCCGTGGCTGAAACGATGCTTCAAACTCGACCTCGGGCGAATAGCATGCGAGAACGAACCCTTTTCGAATCACCTCTCCTCCGGCTGCAGCGAGAGCGCTTTTGTTAACGTGCACGCCAGCGCAACGTGGACGAGCGTTCTGAAATCAGAAGAATCTGTCTTCCCGACTGTCTTGACTTGAAATGTCTGACATGCGCCCATGGAAAGACATTCGAATGGAAATCGCACATCATTCCTTCCGTTTCGCATGAGAACTCGTCGCTCCGCCGTTTAGGAAAAACAAGGGATCCCCCATAGCCTCCTATCATAGATAGCTGTATTTCAGCACGCGCCCGCTGTAGTACGTGCCTCGAGACAAGAGGGAGATGGTGCGATAATTGCTGGAAATGAGTGTGTATGTGTGTACGTTCGCGGGATAACATCAGCTCCCCTCCTCCTCCTCCTCCTCCTCCTCGTCCTCCAGCTGTTACTGCTGCTCCTCCTCCTCCGCCTCGTCATCGCCATCATTCACGTCAGCATACTCCGCACTACTATCACCATGACTCTCTACAACTTGGAGGGACGAGGTGTCGCGTGGCAGCCGCCCAGCCCACCTCGACTCGTCGCAAACCATAATGACGGGTTGGCACGGTGGCTTCACTTGCCGCAAGCAGCTGGATTAAGCCAGACTGTGTCGGATGAAACTGGGCTGGGGCCAAAGAAATACCAGAGCCGCTACCAACACGCCCTCATTCCGTATCGAGGACGCGAGGGAGAAGGACGACATGATGTCGTGTGGGGACAGCTTAGTCTCGAAACGCAAACAGGTGCGCTGGAAGGAATGAAAGTTGGTTGCAACTGCGAGATTCAAGAGCAACCTGGCCCTCGAAAGATCGAAGATTCTCAGAATGTCTCTTAGCGCCAACGTGTGCTTGACCACAATAGCCCCCCAACGTGACGCAGGCAACGGAACGACGGCCATCGCAAGGTGCGTGCGATCAGTGGGGCTGGGCGGGGTGAACACGCAGTGGGTTAGAGCCTATCTGCAGATAATCGACCGAATTCACTGGAAGAGACACTGTAAACATGATCATCATTTCGGACATTCGCGCGGATGCCTTGGATTGGCGCTGGGCCCCCTTCCGTGGCGCGCGAAGCGCGCCAGGGGCGGCGTCAGACGGACGCGCAGATCCCACGAACCGGTGCAAGCCCCTGAACATTGATGTTCGTGCAATTGTGTTGTCCTCGAAACGATCGGGCCCCGAAACTCGCCACGCCGTGAGCCGCGGCCTTGTTTGCAGCCTTTCGCCGAGCATTGTGGCCCACTGACTAAGAGACTGATGACAGGCCCCGCATCCCACGATTCGCACTTGCAGGCTAGAGTGTAATGGGCATCGCGCTGGATTCGACCTGGCCTTTCTGCAGGTGGGGCGGCGGGGGGGGCGAAGGGGCACGGGAGGGATTCGAGAGGGGATCGCTGTGGCTGTTCTCCCGACTGCGGCAGGGAATCTGCGCCGTCGACTCGGTCGCCAGCTCCTGACTAGAGGAACCTGGAGGTCCCCTCGGACGTATTGGATTTGCGCTGGACCCCCCTCTGGTACGCGGAGCGCGCCAGGGGCCGCGCCGAAGGCGCCGCTGAAAGACTCCCGGCGCCGATCTAGGAACTCCGTGCGGATCGTCGGAAGCTTACACCGCACGGATCGTTCCACCATGAACGATCGCGACTTCCCGACAGCGCGGATCGCTCACACTCGGCCGGCGTTGGGCCGCCAACGGGACTCAGTCCTGAACGCCCGCGGCGGAATCGACGCCGCGTCAACGCGGCGCGCGCCTGCTGCACTGTTCGGACGGCCCACGGTGCATGCGCGAAAAGGGCGACCCCCTGCAAAAACATCTGACTATGTGAGACAATATCACACTCGTCCACACGAAATGTTGTTTTGTGTGCGTGCGGGTCCCTCGCTCACTACTGAAGAACAACAGTCATATTGCTGGGCTTGGGGCGCGGTCAACGCCACCGTGATCCAAAACGCATCATGCTGGGCGGGAGGGGGCTTTGAAAGCCAAGGCGCGCAGACAGAAGTGTCGATCCTCGTCGAGCGCCCGATTATGTGACCCAGAAGTCAGAACCGATAACCTCTAAAGGTCTTTTGAACCCCCCCCCCCGCAATAGGTGGAAAATAAATATTTTTGGGGGGGGCTTATTGACGGACTGGGCCCCGCGCAATAGCGGGAAATAAGTATTGCCCCCGCCGCGCGACGACGACGACGACGAAAACGACGCCGACGACGACGACGACGACCGACGACGACGACGACCGACGACGACAACGACGGACGACGACGACGACGACGACGACGGACGACGACGACGACGGACGACGACGACGACGACGACGACGACGACGACGACGACGACGGACGACGACCGACGACGGACGACGACGACGACCGACGACGACGACGACCGACGACGACGACGACGGACGATGACGACGACGGACGACGACGACGACGACGACGACGACGACGACGACGACGGACGACGACGACGGACGACGACGACGACGACGACGACGCTGACGACGACGACCGACGACGACGACAACGACGATTGCGAAGACGACTAGCGACGATGAAGGACGTGGAAGACGACCACGAAGACGACGACGAAGACGACGACGGCGGCCTACTGAGAGGTCCTGGTGGCCACGCAGACTACAGAGATTTGTATTACAATTCCCTTGGGATTTTTTTGCAAATTCTTCCCGCGTGCAGGGTAGTCCACGTGGCATTGTTTTCTGGGAGAAAGAACCCCCCGACAATTGTCAGCGCGGCGAACAATAGCGGGAATTAAAG